CAGAAAGTAACCATGGCAAGTAGGGGACAGGTGATGGGGACAGGAGAAGATAGGTCTGTGAGCATGGAAGGGAAGGGGAGATTCTCTTCTGGTTTGGGGACTTTTTTAAAGTCCCCAGTGGCTGCAGCAGCACAGATCAGTTGGAAAGAGGGGTGCGGCCACACCATTGCACCTCCTGTAGATCTGCCCCAACAGATGCCTAATCTAGCTGCATGTCCCTGCTTGCAGCTTAAGCACCTCCTGAAGAACATTTTTGGTCCTGATGTCCAGGGATGCCAGACACTCTGAAGTTGCTGCTGATATGGAAAAAACTCTTTAGTTTGTTTGGCCTGCTATAGCCTTTTTTATGACTTCCTGGCCCAAAAGACTCTACCTAATGCATATTATCTACACCAGGCTTGGAACAAAGATTTCTGTATGTCCTTGAACCTAGCCAGGAGCAAAGTGCCTTGTAAAACAGTAAAAACTATATCATTGATCTACAATAAATGCTGATCTAGTTGAAATTTTTTTCATTCACACTGGTACCTGCAGAAGCTACAGTATACACCCTTTGCCAAATGAGACTGTGGCTGGAGATTTGGATCTTCCAGACCTGTGCTGCCTTGCCTGTTGTGGGACTATCCAATGATACAGTCCTTTCAACTAGAGGTTTGTAGGAGAATTAATTTGATACACCTTTTAAAATTATTTCCCAGGACTTCATTTTCTTTATATATCCCAAACTCTTAAAAACTCTCTAACTCGCATACAGTTTGGTTTTCTAGAGAGAACAACTTGTCTTGCAAAGATTGAAAAGTGGATTACTTCCAGAAATAGAAGTCTGGCATAATGATTTATAACGGCTGACCTACCAGCTGTAGAGTGGGTAACATTTCAGAGATGAGGGATAACAGATAACTTTTTTCAAAGATTTGGTCTGACATTCTAAAAATGCTTGCTAAATCCCCAGTAAATAGAAACTAAGGTGTCTGTCCCCCTTCTCTACCCGGCTCCTTTTTCTCTCTCCTTTCTTTCCCCTTCATTTTCTTTTTCTGTTCTCCTTTCTTTTTCTGTTCTCTCTCTTAAAAAAAATTCCAATCATAAAAAACCCTATAAAAACAAGACCTTTCACTGTCAGTCTAGGGGCAGACATTCAGAAAGCCTGAACCTGACTTGATTCAATCTTTGCAGGTTAATCTAACCTGGCTAGGCTAAATCAGTTTTGTAACTGGACAGACGTCCCACAAATGCAGGCACATGCCTGCAGTGCCTCAGGCTAGAAGCCGGGGGGCACTAGAGCAGCCCTCCCTTCCACAGCATGGAGGTGAGGGGGGCACGGCTAGGCTTGGGCAGGAGCTCCAATAGCTCAGCAGGGAATTGATATCAGTATTTATCACCCAATTAAGAAAACAGCAGAGGGACATTACCAGCTACTTGTTGATTCTGCCTGTTTATTCTACATATTGACTCAGCACGGACCGTAGCCAGCATGTGGTCTGCTAGCTAATACACAGATACCTCCTCAGCAAGGCAGAGGGGAGGGGGGAATTCCTGCTTAGCAGGGAGTGGTGAGGGGAGGAGAGAAGCAGCCTACAGTCTCTGGAGCTCCATCCAGGGAGCAGAGGGGAAGGCCCAGCCCCGCTGTGGAGCAGAGAGCCCTTCCCAGCCCAGAGAGCATGCCGAGATTCTGAGGGTGTCTGGTTTATCTTAAATCAGCAAGGGGTCTGGGACAGACATTGCATAAAGCGGCTTGAGCCAAAGCAGTTAAGTCTGATACTACATTCAACCAGGTTTATCTCAAACCAGTTTCAGCCATTCTCAAACTGATTTATGTGCCCTGAACATCTGGGCTAGGGACAGACATTACATGTAAACCAGTTTAAGTGATCAGAAACTGGTTTAAACCTGTAACAGAACAGATGTTCAGTGCCCATAAACCAGTTTCAAAATGGCTGAAACTGGTTTGAGCTTCAAACCAGTTTATGCAATGTCTGTCCCAGACTCTTTACTGATTGAAGGTCATGGGAGACTGGTGCCTTCTGAGTCAGGGGGAGCGCTTCCCCATTTATGCAAGTTACAGCTGCACTTAATTATTTGCAGCATCAAGACCTCTATTAGTATAATTTTTAGCAGTTCCTGTGATTTAATAAGAAAATAATTTTATCTGAGCCATCAGGTTTTCCTTATTAAGATGGAAATTTCAGGAGTTAAAGTAACATTTTGAAAGCACTGTCACTTGGGAGCATAAGGAGTTATCAAAAAATTTGTGCTTTTATTTTCTTATTATAAAAATACACTTAGAACTATAGGCTTTTGCAGTTGTAATATATACTGCTTCTATGCCATAGGTTACTTTAACATTTTCTGTATTTCAGAAGCTTGGAAAGAGGAACATACTTGGTAGATGCAGACTAGCATGATACCTAGGATTAGTGCTTGTGATACTCCTAAGAATTTTTCTGTCCAGCACTTTTTGTAGGTATAAGATCAGGTTTCCATCTCGCTCCCATGGTGGAGATAAAGTTTCAAAATATAAAATTGTTCTTCCACCTAACCTCAGGAGTATGCATTGTTGGAAATATTAATACATCTCTCATAACCTCTTAACAAAGAATAGTCATGTTGGTACTAATTTATAGAGTTCAGCAGCAAAGGTACTTAACAAGTCTATGGACAAAAAGAATTATGTACTAACATGTACCCTAATTTAATAGCATTAAACTTGGCAAAAGCAATCTTTTCAAACTACACCCTTAAGCTATAGTCTCTCAGGTTTCCTATTGCATATTCTGCTTTAAAGAAATGTACTGTTTTGTAGTTTTAAAATATACTTAACTCTTGCTAACATAGTACTTGGATGTGTGCCAATTCCACCTTGGAATTTCAACTGATAAAGAAGGGAGCAAACAAGTAGGTGCATATTTTTTATAAATCCAGGGATAGGCTTTGTCATCTTAGATAAGATGAGATGGGTATTATTTATATGTCTTCTAGCTTATAAGAGAAATCTGAGGAGAGGAACAAACCTGTCTTTTGTGTTGCAGATTGAGTCTTTAAAACATTATTGTAAACCCTTGATTTTCAGCCCTGTTTTTCAGTGCAACAAAAGAGATTTTTGTTTGGATGTATGATTGAATGTGAGTTATTGAAAGCTTTGTTACTAATTACAAATTAATTTTTAAATGATATCAACAAGCCTATTATGTACTTTATAAATCCATCTTTAATTAAAAGTACAAGGACAGAATAAAAACAAAAGTATGCTGATGCTCCTTTGATGCTTCTTGGAAAACCTTGGATTCTGACATGACAACCAAAAATTTTGCTTTTGACTTTCAAATAAGCAGGTAGGAATGTTTTATGCATCAGTCATGGTATTTGTAGCCTAAAGCACTTTAAATTCTGAAGCATAAACCTTGTGGGTATTTAAATGTTCTACCTGCCATCAAATGATAACATGCAGTAAGTGCAGTCACATGTGCCTTGGATAGATTTTTTTAAGTTAGCTCATACTTAGCTCATATTACTGGCATTAGGTGAAAGGTGGCATGGAAGTAGAAACAAGGAATGTTACGTTTTTAACTATAAAATACTTTGTCACATAAGCAGTAAGCATGAAACACAGTGTGCTTGTTACTGATGATGCTGAAAGCTAAATAACCATTAGTATTAAATCTTATGAATAGACTCTTGTCTTTCATCTTACCTCTTCAGCTGGATAAAAGACACACAGGCTATTTAGCTGTTATAAGAATAGTTCTGTTGAAATCCTTGTGGACTTCCAAAAAAAATCTCTCTTCATGTTGCTTAGTGTTTTGTTGTGTTCAAAGAAATGCCACTCTGCTAGTGGTGAAAGAAGAATGTAACACAGAAATCCACCACATTGTGTGGGTTTAGGCTTTATAAAAATGCAGTAGTTAAACTGAACTGATGTGTATCTTTTGTTTTCTGTACAGCTATTTCCTCCCAAATAAAAAAAAAAAATACAGTAAAATACTAAGCTGTTTATAGTGGTATAAGAAAACTGAGATCTAACAAATAGCCTTATAACAATATAAAAACATTTGCATAACTGCTAGTTGCTGTTTCAGACATATTTATTAATAAATTTGTTACAAAGCAGAATCTACAGGTTGCTAGAAATTAAGTTTCCCAAAATAACCCAAAAGAATTAGCTGAAATGCAAATACAAAATTGATTTGAAAGAGAAGATTAACCTAAACATGAAGGTTGCTATGTATTTAACCAACAGTTGTCTTAATAGCTAATAACAGAAAATACAGAAAATTATTTTGTGCCGTATTATTCAAGGTGGCATTACCATGCTATTTAGTGTCATGCCTATTATACAATTTAAATAATGCAGAACACCTATAAAACTAGAAAGCAATCTCCATTTTTTTGAAGACAGCTGTTAATTCCTATCCTAAATTAGTACTTGAATTATACTATATCCTAATCAATGATAAGTAATTTTAAGTTGCTATTGCCAGCTCAGTTAGCTAACTTAATAGTGTTTTTGCTCTAACTAGTACATGGCAGTTCCCTTGAACACCTTCATAGTCGGACTTATAGCAGGAAGTTTAGTGCCTGACAAACAGTACAATACTTTTTATTTTTAAGTGCCTACTGGAGCAAACTACTCCGTCATGAATTATGGGAGTAAAATTAGAGGAGTGATTTTTTTTTTTTCATATGTAAACCATAATTATCCCCACATTTAACCCCATGATTAGTGTTTTACCAAAGGAAGAGTTAAATGATGACCCTGTTTATGCCCAGTGTTTAGTGCTGCTTAGCAGCTACATTTTCTGCTTCTGATAGTTTAAGTACAACACAGGTCACAATACATTGTTGAAGAGAATTGTTCAGCTTTTCTTTAGGATTTTGAATTTGCTGGCTGCCACAATAGCAGAATTGCAAGCAACTTCTGGGACATTCTGACTCAAATAAGCATTTGTTTGTTTGTGTTGAATTGATAATAATCATAATACAAGTGTATTTAATTTGTTTTATAGGAGCCAGAGCTGGAAGACTCAGATGTTAATACAATGTTGCTGGTACACTTCTTTGGAAAAGCAGGAAAGGACAAACTTCGCTATTCTGAATTTTGCAGGTAGTGTTTAAGCACTGGTAGTCATTGATCACAGTCATTCTCTATAACTCCAGATTATGTAATTGTTAATAGTTTGTTTCTGCCTAGTCAAATCACCATATAAGGAATAGAAAACCTGTGCAAAAGCATTAAAAATGTTACCTCTCATTGCTATAATAGTGGGATACAGACCCTTTCCCTACTCCCCCAAAAGAATACCATTTTAAGTAGAAGGTTCTCTCCCAGAAGACTCCAAATTGTTTTACAGACTTTACATGTATAGCAATGATTTCACCCACTGAAATGCTCTTGGAATAGAACTATGCATATGTTCATGCACAGAACTCAAATTTAGGACAGGAAGCAAAGAATACCATATCCAGCTGAAGCTGCAGTGGACTATCATGAGACTTTCTTCCCTGAAAAGTGACAGCATTTCCTTCAGGATGCAAAATATTTGTTCTCTCACGCAGCAAGCATTCTCTTCCCAAAGGTTATAATGGAAGTCAGAAATTAACAAAGAAACTCTAAGAATAATGACAGTCATTCAGCTAATTAAAGCAATAATACAGAATTAAGGATTGCAAATCATTTAACTAGAAACACACTCACTACTGTGTTGTGTAATTGTTATGGTCAGAAAGGATAATATTGTCCTCTCAGGGCAGAGTCTCCTTACCTGGCCACTTTCAACTTGACAGCCCAACAGCATAACTCATCTTAAGACACAAATGCAACTTATCCTTATCAGTAGCTAAACCCATCACTTTAACACCTTAATTTAGTATGCTTCAAAAATCTCTGGTACTGTGGGACAAAAATATTTGCAACCATATCAAGAATACCACATCTTCATGTGTAGCATTGACCCCCAAAGGTATTTATGTACCTAGCTCTCATTGAAATGTTTCACAACAGTGAATTAATTGAGAGTTAGACATCTAAATAGAAGTGAGGTGCTTAACTCTTGTTGGGGATGTTAGCCCTTGGTCTTACGTTATGATCAAAGAGAACAAATTATTTACACTATTGTTAACATTGCTTTTCAAAGATATTGACTGATGATTCAAATCTGCTAAAATTCAAGTCCAATAATGTGTATAATTCAGTTTCTGTTCAGCTGAAATGTAATTATATTCAATCTCTACTATTAGGAATAAATGCCGTTGCTCTCAACAGAGGGTTCGGAAAAGCCAGAACAAAAAGTGGCATTTTTCTTAACACTATAAAATGTTTCCTCTCCACTGATTTGGGCACATACCAGTCTTCCAATAAACAAACCTTTCTCTTTTGAAGCTCTTGTCTCAGTAGAACTCTAAATGAGTCAAATTAGGTGTAACTTGTCTGTAGCTCCCTTCTCCGTAAATACAGTAGGCCCGCTAATGAAACAAAGGACAGAAAGCACCAGTAAAAGGTTGTGTTTGCATATACAGTATAAACTGGAATGCCTCAGGTTTTAGATAAAATCCTACACTGACCCAGTGAGGCATGACATTGATAAAACTATGTACCTAGTACGTTCAGAAAATGTAGGTTAAAGACCTTTGCCTACCACACAGATAGAGGCCTGTAATCAAAATCAAACTCCCACATCTTGCTCTTAAAGTTTGTGGGATAAGTGTAAGGTTTAATGCAGGTAATTTTTCAATGGTGGCAGTTATTTTTCATAGAGTTGGAATGTGCCTCTTTATCACTGTATATACACACTCCATTTAAGTTGCGACATGACAGCGGAGTTTGTTTAACAGAGAAGGGTGAATAAAAGGATCAGTGTCTTTTTAACCTGTGAGGAGATATCACTTTTCACATGATTTTATTTGCAAGTAAATCAAGCACATCATTTCTGCATTGCTATTGTTCAGGGAAAATGTGATTTCTATCTGATGGCCTCTCACAACATTTTACCTCACACGGGAAGCTATTGTTGGCTGTTTGATCAAAGTGCCATGCTGTTTTTACAAGAGATGACTGATGAGCTATACAGACATAGATCATTGTCAAAAGGGAAAAAGAACAATGGCAAATGCTTTTATCATTTTCCAAGTACTTGCTAGAAAGCTTTTCCATTGATCAGAGTAGTACCTAAAAAAAAGTTGGAATGATTAGATTTGTTTAGGACATATTAAAACCTGTCACACCAGTTAAATACACAGGTATCCATGTGGTCTAGATTCCTTTAAAAAAAAAAAGGGTATGCTTCCTTGATGAAATGTCACCATGTTTATGTTAGGTTAATATATTTTCTTTCAGAAAGTTGAAATGAATTTCCTCACCTCATTACTTACTTTTTAATTATTCTCCTTGCTCAATTTTTCCGGCTGAATTAAAGACACCCTTTGTAATTGTGCAGTCACCTGTATCTTCATTTACACCAGTGTTATCCAGCCTTTTCGGCCTGATGTCCAAATATTTTAAACAGGTCAAAGGGCCATGGTTGATATTTCAGGGAAGAACCTCTCCAGCCAGCTCAGAGCTGATTGTCAGGTCTTGTACCTCCATTCCTGCAGCCCCTGGCACAGGGGGCATGTTGGGTGCAGGAAAGGAAAGTAGGTAGAACATTGGTATGTTGGCTCTCTGTGGTGGTATGTGATCTCTTGCATCCAGGTGATACAAGAAAAAATAGGCTCTGGACTGCTTTAACCTTTGCCAAGACTGAGATAGAGAATCAAACTGGTTGTTGGTTCTACACTTCTTTTTTTCTGTCTTTCCTGGGCTGGGCTGGGCTAGTATGGCATGGTAGAGGGGAGGGACTACCTTTAGATAGTTTCATTCTACCTTCCATATTTACTTGACTACAAGTCAAGGTTTTTTTTCTCCTTTTAATGTAGGGGAAAAAAGCCCTTCTTCTTGGACTTAAGTACAAGCTGGCAGGGAGGGCAGACAGCTGCTGTGGCTGCATACACACCCCACCTTCTTGCAGCCTCAGGCCCCCTGCTTCCCTTCCCCCTTCTCCTCACCTCCCCATCCCTGCGGCCTCTGCCCCCACCCTCCACTTACCCTTGCTCTGGCTTGGGTCCCAGCAGGTTCTGTCTCTGCTGTAGCCTGGGGCACAGAACATGTGTTTGCTCCAGCTCCAGTGTGGTCCCATAGCAGCAGCAGCTCAAGGTGGGTCCCAGAGCAGGGGCTGGAGATGTCATGCCACCATTGCTGCTATGGGATCATGCTAGGGCTAGAGCAGAAACATGCTCTGTGCCCTAGAGTCTAGCAGAGACAGAGTCTACCAGAGCCTGAGCCACAGTAGAAGTAAATGGTGGGGGTTGGGGGACAGATAGGGGAGCAGAGGCTGCTGGGAAAAGGGGAAATGAAGATGCAGGGAGTAAGCTGTGGGGGCAGGCAGGGGGAAAGATGTTGGAGGGGGGCAAGGGACAGGGGACAAGCAAAAAATCCCCCCACTCTCCCCTCACCACCTCTTCCACCATTTGCCCCTCTGCACCACTGCCGCCACCTCCCCTGCCTAGCCCCCCCACCACCTGTACCCCTAGTATCCCCTTATTGCCTTCCCCCCGACACTGCTTTCCCCACTGCAGTGATGGCAGAGATGAATTTAAGATGACTCTCCAATAATTAGATTCTATACATGAGAAATTACACACACACACACACACACACACACACACTTTTTCCATGAAGATAATCTAATTATTGGAGGGGTCATAAATTCAGGGTCATCTTGGATTCAGGTAAATATGGTATGATGATCACTACTATGTGTTAAACCTTGTAGGTAACATCAGACTTGCTGGACCCCAAAAGGAAATTTTCATCTTCTGGGTTATAAAATTCTAAACTTGGGAACAGAAAGTTATAATAATTCTGGAAATGTTTTTGTCATACACAGTCGTTGTCTCTCAGGTTTTAGAAATCCAATAGGCATTTTTAGTCTTCTGTCAATACAATGTTTTTTGTGCTATGCATTTCAATGATGTTATGTGCACTTTTTCTGTCATCATAGCATTTTCCAGGGAGGGCATGGGTATTTTTTGAATGACCAGTATTTTTTCCCTGAAAATGTCTAAATAAAAAATTGAAGAAAATTTAGCTCCAAATAACAGAAGGAAAAACATACTTAGTAATTGGCCTGCAAACATGTTGCTTGCTCCCCTAAGAGTTTAGAACTGCTTTGAATCTTGCCACCCACAGCATGAAATGTAAAACACTTCTCAGACCTAACCTCTCCTGAAATAAGCCACAATGCCCCTCAATCTCCCCAGAAAATGAAAGAAAAATGTGGTACAAACCCATACCAATAAGATAGGATATACCAAGAACTTCTATTTTTTTTCCTGGGGTGGTTTGTAGATGGAACCCTTTCAATAATGGTTTCATGATTGGTTGGCTTTTAAATGTATATAAAAAATAATTTTTATCTGTAAAAGTAACTTTCAGTTCACCTAAGAAGTTTTCTTACCCCTTTTTTGGTTCTAAATTTTCACAGACAAAAATCTCTCTGCCATTAAATTCTGCTTATTCACAAGTTCTGTTTCTTTTTTACATTGCACTTCAGTATATATGCCCATGCTTACCTACATTTGTTTCTGTTCACCATTTTGGTGGGATTTTTTGCTTTCTCACTTCTGAAGTTGTTAGTTGGTCAGTTTTAGATTTAAGTCGGAAAATGATGGGCTGTGTAAACAATTCCTACATCATGCAGGAGTGAGTTCTAGTGCTCAACCTTTTTGCTCAGTGGGCTAACTGGGCAGCGCCTGGTCCATCCACGGGCCGGATCTGGCTGGTGGTCCCAATCCACCCAACTGGGTCCCGTATGGGGCTTGACACAGCCCCATCCAAGCTCTGTGGCCAGTGGGGGAAGAGAGGGTGGCCTGGCACCAACCCAGCCCTGTGTGGAGGAGAAGGAGGTGTGGCCTGGCTCCAACCCAGCCACATGGTGGGAAGGGGGCCTGGCTCCAACCCACTGTGGGGTTTGGGAATTTGAAGCAGGGGAGGGTGGCAGTATTAATTGCCACTGCACCCTAGGGTGACCACCCATCCCTAATTGGTCAGGACAGTCCCAGATCATCAAG